TCAGATTTCATTGTATTTATTTAGAACGTGACTCTACAAGTTGTAAGTGCCCCCTTCAAACTGCTGAGCACACTCACTCCTACTGGAGTTAGGGCACTTGTCACCTCAAGGAACTGCTCAGCATCTTGTAGGATCAGGCCTTCAGAAATTAAATTAGAAGAGTTAACCAAACACTGTCAACATGAATATCATGGCTATTGTGATGAGCTGTTATACAATGTCGCTGTGCCCTTATGTCTATGAAATCATCCAGAATAGGACGGGTGAAATGGAAACTCTGGAACTAAGAAAAACTGGAAATAAGAACTCTCCCTTCCAAGTTTAGAATCAAATTCAACCATTTAAGTTTTTGAAATGTTAAGTTAAAAAATACTGGAAAGACTTCATTTTTCGAGCTTTTCACCTTGAATTCATCACTCCTCTCTTTACATCCCTCCACTGGCTCCTGCTTCTCAATTGCATCAAACAAACTACTTTTCTTTACTTTCAAAGCCCTTCATGGCCTATTTCCATCCTAGCTATCATCTCTCATTCACCATTGGAACGTTGACCACCACCTCCAATCCACCCATGATGCCAGCCTCCATGTTCACTTGTTACATTTTCGAACAAGCAACATAATGCTTTCTCCCATACTGCCCCATATGCTTGGGAGGGGCTCCCCATGAACATCTGCAAAAATAACTATCGGCCTTCAAAGCCCTCCACAAAATTCTTTTCTGTGATGCCTAATTCAATTGGTTTTTGAGATCCAATAGGTTGTGATCTCAGCACACTAGCAACCTAACATGCTGACCAATATTGTCTCATTGTTTCCTAATGCTCCCCAGGCTGTGTCCATCGGTCATCTCTCATCTTATACTTAGGACTGTAAGGTCTTTGCGGCAGGGCATAGTCTTTCAGCTGGGATCCATGAAGGAACTTAAGTATTGTGTGACTAAGGGGACAGGCACCTAACCTTCAGGCCCCTGGAAAAAAAAGCCACAGGAACACCACTGCCATCCTCAGTGGCTGAGTTAGGTACTTAGGCTCAATATACAATGAATGGGGAGACAGGTGCCTTAGACTGCAATCCACAAAGCCAGCAGGCTAGGCTCCCTGCCTAAGCTAGTCAATGGAAAACGCAAACAGGGGTGTGTCCTAAGCCCTGCCCCTCGCACAGAGTTCTGTGCCTAAGTCCAGGCTGCAGGGAGACTCCTGCCTCGGCTTAGTGATCTGCAAATGAGAACCAGCCACCTGGAGAAGGTGGCTTAGGTGCCAAATGCATTTCCTGTGGGAATGAATTAGGTGCCTGCTTCACTCCACACAAGATAGCTGGAGGAGGAGGAGGAGTTGATGCCCACCTTAACTTTCAGTGTAGTGGTTAGTACACTCCCTTGGGACACTGGAGATCCAGGTTCAGTTCCCCCACCTCTGCCAGAGAATAGGAGGCCTCCCTCCACTCAGGTGAGTGCTCTAACCACTGAGCTATGGAATAGTCTGATGTGGAGCTCCCTCACTGTCTCTTCATGAAGCCATTCCATTGTGGATAAATGAGGAGTGATTTGAGCTAGGATATTGGACTTGGGGTCACCCACCTCCAAGGTGTGTGCCCTAACCACTGGAGTCAGTCACTCTCTCTGGCCCAATCACTATTCCATTGTGGATGGATACCCCAGATTTTGAATGGGGCCCAATCTGGTAGGCACACTCAGAGGCCCTGACTTAGGCCTTGGGCCACCCTTCTTCCCCCAGTTTGTGAATTGCTCTGGGGGTTAGCTGGGAGATACGCATCCAGATACTTAGAGGGAGGCAGCAGTGCTCGTGCTCAAAGACAGGAACATAGGTGCCTAAAGAACTTTTACCCTGAAAACTTAGGCATTGAATTAGTTTAGGTGCCTATAGTTTGGTAGGAGTACTGCGAACTGCAGAACATAAAACTGGGGGTTAAGTACCTTTTGTGCACTTGGGACTTTGTTGTGTGTTTTGTACAGGATCTAGCACAATGCAGTCCTGATTTATGAAGACAGCTCCTGAGGGTTACGGTAATACAAACTGACAACAACAACATTATTGTGATTTGGATAGTGCCCTAAAGGCTGTTCTGCTAATATTTCTGAATACGAATGGAACCCAAACTCCTGGCCACCTCATTTCCAGGGAAGCACAATTTGTATAAATTTTGGATTAGGATCTGCACTTTGGGACAAATATCCAAATTGATTCCAAATACTGAACCTGCTTGAAGTTCCTCTGCTCTGGACTACTGGTGAAAAGAGGTAGAAGGTAGAGGAAGGATTTTATGAAGATAACAACCTGGGTAAAAATGTGAAGATTTTCCTTGGAGAAGAGCAGTTTTGCGGTTAAGCACTGGACTGAGGCTTGAGAATGCGGTCCAATTTCTATCTGTACCAACAGACTTGACTTTCTGTGTTTCAGTTTCTCATCTATTAAATGGTGATAATATTCTCTCCCCAGCCTTTGTCTTGTCTATTTAAATCGTAAACGCCTTGGGGGCAGGCACTATTTGTTATTATGTGTTTGTTCAGTGCCTAGCACAATAGGGCCCCGAGCTCATTTTGGGCCTTTAAGCACTACTCTAAAATAGTAGTACCTTCTTTAGTAGTATTGTGTTGACGTGTCTCCTCTTAAAAATATGGCAGTTATGTTAACTATTTTAAAGAACACTGTGGTGTATTTCAATATATTAGTATTAACAAATAAGTTGTAAAATAATAACACTTACTCTTCACAAAGGAGACATTTTACAACTACAGAAAGAGATTCTAGAGCTACTTTTATGATGCAACAGCAGCTTTTCCAAATGGCTTATGGCAGAAGGATGAATGCTAAGAGCCAGATAGTCCCCTCCATCCAGTTGGTCAACCCCTACTGCTGTCAATGGCAATTTCACACGAAGGATAAAGGGAACGTAGGAGCTGAAGGGTCTCGTACAATATGTGGGATTGCTGCTATTAGATCCTACTCCATAGGACTCCAGCATATTGTTTAACGGTAGCTGTTCACTGTGTTATGGTTACAGTTATAGCAATCTGCTTTAGAGGAGCGTTATACCCTAACTTCAGACTGAAATTTCATGTCCAAGCTCAATAGTACAGCAATAATATAAGTTTATGTGCAAATAAAATAAATAGACTATTTTCTTTTGTGTTAATGTAGCTTATAAATATCCAGTTTCCCAATGAAAGAAGACTTTTCTATAATTCTGTGTTTACAAATGATTTTCATTTTTCAGTTTAAGATTGGCCATCCTGCTCTTTGGAGTACGAGGGCATTTGAGTCTGAGAGTCCTACTGAATTGCCAGAGATTGCAGTGATTCAACTGGGAACTGCCATTCTTGGCTCCAAATGCAGCTTGAAAGTATGCCGTAAGGAAGGGGCTGATATGAGTGGGGAGAAGAGGAGACATGGGGTCTGGAGTGACGCAGGCCGAGGACAAGGTACGAAAGACAGAGGGTGGTCACCTTAGGGGGAAAGAGGTCCAGAGGGTGGCCACAACCTGCCCAGCAACGAGCAGCCCAGCTCAGCCCATAGCTAACAAAACCCTTTCCCAGATGACACCTCCCTCTATCCCCATACAAAAAGTCTCTAGCGGATGACAAACCCCGTCATCTCTGCGCTCCCTTGCACATGCCCCATCCATCCTTCTCTAGCTAGCAGAGTCCTACTGCCCCATACCCCAAGTTAGCTCGCATGTGCTTTGATGAGCGCCTCCTTGCCAACTTCCAAGAAAACCAACCAGCCCTGGCAGCTGTCAACGAGTCACCAGGTGGCCAGGTCTTCACTGAGGTGGCCCTGGGCTGCGGCACTCCCTCCTCTTTAACAGCCATCAGCGACCATCTTGTCCCACTTTCAAAGGGCACACGAAGAGGTCTCTTGGCAGCAAGATTTTGAAACCACTGTTGGCTCCCTATGGGTTACCCTCCCCCTTTCCCTTATACAGGCAAACCCCACCCTGGCTTCCTTGGCATTAGGGTGCCTGCTCAAAAGATAGGCTAACACACCTGCTACTCTGAAACCTGTATTTGCAAAAAGAAAAGGAGTACCTGTAGCACCTTAGAGACTAACACATTTATTTGAGCATAAGCTTTCGTGAGCTACAGCTCACTTCATCGGATACATTCAGTGGAAAATACAGTGAGGAGATTTATATACATAGAGAACATGAAACAATGGGTGTTACCATAGACACTGTGACAAGAGTGATCACTTAAGGTGAGCTATGACCAGCAGGAGGGAGGGGGGGGGGGGGAAACTTTTGTAGCAATAATCAAGGTGGGCCATTTCCAGCAGTTGACAAGAACCTCTGAGGAACAGTGGGGGGTGGGGTTAAACATGGGGAAATAGTTTTACTATGTGTAATGATCCATCCACTCCCAGTCTTTATTCAAGCCTAAGTTAATTGTATCCGGTTTGCAAATTAATTCGAATTCAGCAGTCTCTCATTGCAGTCTGTTTTTGAAGATTTTCTGTTGAAGAATTGCCACTTTTAGGTCTGTAATCGAGTGACCAGAGAGATTGAAGTGTTCTCCGGCTTGTTTTTGAATGTTATAATTCTTGACATCTGATTTGTGTCCATTTATTCTTTTACATAGAGACTGTCCAGTTTGACCAATGTACATGGCAGAGGGGCATTGCTGGCACATGATGGCATCTATCACATTGGTAGATGTGCAGGTGAACGAGCCTCTGATAGTGTGGCTGATGTGATTAGGTCCTATGATGGTGTCCCTTAAATAGATATGTGGACACAGTTGGCAACGGGCTTTGTTTCAAGGATAGGTTCCTGGGTTAGTGGGTCTGTTGTGTGGTGTGCTGGTGAGTATTTGCTTCAGGTTGGGGGGCTGTCTGTAAGCAAGGAGTGGCCTGTCTCCCAAGAGCTGAGAGTGTGATGGGTCCTCCTTCAGAATAAGTTGTAGATCCTTGATGATGCCATCAAAAGATGACGATCAGTGCATCGCTTTTTCATTTTAACGCCCCCCCCCCGCGTTTTTTGTTCCGCTTTAAAAAACAAAAGTGTCCCACACAGGCTAGGCTTTGCTGGGCCCCGTTATGGGGAAGCCCCAGTGAGGAGCGCGTCAGAGGAAGGATCACAGTCACCAGGAACACCTGTCCGGAGCGAGCCGCGGAGCTCCGCTCCCCACCCCCTGCACGGAGCTGCGCGCGCCCCGCGCTGGGGAGGAGGCGGCTGACGCCAGGCCCCTGCAGGGGGCTGCACCCCGCTCTTCCGCGGGCTCCCAGGGGGATGCTCGGCGCTGGGTCTACCCGCCGGGCGAGCCAGAGGCAGTTCGGCACTTCCCAGGTCAATGAAGCTGGTAAGAGTCTTATTGCCGTTCCTGCAGGGTTCGGGGGGGGGGGGGGGAGCGAACTGGTGTCTCGTTCTGGTGCTTCAAGCCCCCCCTGGTTTCCACGCGCCCCGTCGGCGGTAAGGATGCGTGCAGGGCCCTGCGTGCAGGACTGGCCCCTTGCAGCCGCTCGGGGACTGACTCCCAAGTTACGCAGAGAAAGGCGCGTTGCCGGCCCGCAGCCTAAGGGCAGGACGGCCCACCCCCAGCCCGCCCTTGGAGCGCAAATCTGGGGGAGAGGCCCCCAGCGCCCCGACGTTGACGGGCTCGAGTGGTCCCCTCGCTGCCCTGTCCCCCAACACACCCCGCGCTGGCGGGGGCTCCAGGGCAGCGTTTCCCGAGCCAAGAGTGCGGCGGCTGAGGTCCGCCCATTAGCGGCGTGCGCACGCTGTTTGCGGGAAGGCCGGACCCCAGCCGATTTCATGTGTGCAGGGCGCTGAGCGCTCCTGGGGGGCAGCAGCTGCGAGCCCCCCTGCCGGTATTTTATAGGTGAGCGGTGACAAGGGCTTGGGGTTGAAAAAAAAAAGTTCCAAGGGAATGAGAGCTCGAGATCTCCCCCCCCCCCCCCGCCCCGGGGGGGATGGCGAACCAAGAGGAACCGGAATGTCCTTCAGCTAAGCCAGGTCTATATACTGACAAGTAAGGAAAATATCAAGGAGGTGCTTGGTGTACTGCAGTTTAACTAAACAACCCCCCGCCCCAAAGAAGGGAGGCGAACCCGTTCGCTCTCGTGTGCCGGGAAGCCCCGGGAAAGGCAGCCGCTTGCTCCCGGGCAGAAGCCCTTCGCCCCTCACCCTGACTCCATAAAGCCGAGCGGGAGCCATTTGCTCGGAACGGTGCAAAAAGTGCGGTGGCGCCTGGAGCGGTGTCGCTGCTTCCCCTGAAGTCCCTCTGCTGTGTGTGTGTGTGTCCCAGGGTTGTCCCTCTGCAAACAACAGGTTGAATATTGTAGGTGAGGGTTATTAAAGTGTCCCCAGGACAATGGCAGTCTGTGTCCCATTCGCCACGCTTGGCTTAATCTTTGGAAAGGGCACACACAATGTGACATGATGTTGGCTTCCAATATCATTCAGTCTGCATAGCGGCAAGTGCTGCCCTGTCTCCCTGGAAATGAAGTTCGGCAGATTTAATCCTACCCTCTAAAAAACCCTACATACTGACAGCGAAGCTCTGAGTACCCCGATAGATATATTGAGCTCGGACTTGAACCTGGATCACTTAAAAAAAAAGAATTAAAAAGGAAAAGGCTCAGAGAAGAGGATTCTACCCAACCCAGACACACATAATACGGTCTGGGTAGCGTTGCATTGGGTCACTCAGTCTCAGTCTGGCAATGGGTTTCCCCTAAAGAATACCTGGCCAGGGAGCAGGGTAGCCGATGCTGCGGGCAGAAATAAAAAGCTTTCTTGTTCTTTTGTGAGCATTGTAAGCGGCACTGGTTTTCTTCTGGCTTGGAGTAAAACCCACTAAAAGGGAGCCATCCAAAGGGGAACAAAGCGCTCAGCCCTAGAGGCGGTCATGTCTAGCTCTAGCCTGCTGGGCTGCTTTCAGAGCAAAAACGTGCCTCCAAGACTGAGGGCCCCGGGATTAGGCACTGTCCAGAGGAAGGTGAGCGGAGAGAGGGTGAGGGCTGGCGTGGGATTCTCTCTTTCGTTGCTGTCATTGTATCCTTGGGATGCTGCAATATCTGAAGGGCCTTTGTTTTGGGGACCTCTGCGATTTAGTGTTATTCCTGGTTCAGAAGAATTGGGTGCAAGGATCACAGCCCGTTTTCAAGTCACCTTGAGTTTAGAAACCACTTTTGCAAACCGTGTCACTAAAAATGGTGGCTTTCAAGTCAGTTGCTAGCACTGAGCGAATTACACGGAAATCACCACCCACCTCGTCTCTGAATGAGGGATAGATCCTAAATTCAGCACCGACTGCCTCCGCCAGCAGTGCCCCGTCTGAGGAAAGGTCAAAATGTAGTTTGCTTTTCAAGGTTCCCTAGGGCATCAGTTTGATCGATTTGCGGAGACACAGACAACACTATAAAGTAAGTCGTGGTGGCTGAAGGATTCCAGAGTTCCACGACGGCTTTCAACTTCAGGAAGCAAATTCCAGGTCATCTAAAAACTCTTTTATAAATAGAACGTCATTTACTACCCAAAGGATTAGAATATTGGGTGTTTATTTAGGCAAGGATCTCTTAAATATTTGCGAATTTAGACGTTATTTGCATTAAACTAGCCCGTTCTAGGAGTGAGAGCTCAAGAGTGAACTAAGTAGTCGTCTTTAGATGAGCTGATTTCGCCCCCACACGAGCGATATCGGGAAATAGACGATTTCAGAGCTAAAGCCACTGGAAATGCCACAGCGCCACCAGCTGGATTTGAAAGGTTTAAACAAGAACAACTGAGTGCATTGGATAGAAAGCTGTACGGCTTCCCTTAATAGCCAGAGAGCACATGGGTGAACGAGAGAGAAACGGCAGCCCTTAGCGTGAAGAGTCCTACACTTTTACAACAAAAGAAAAGGTAAAAATGCCAATGTCATCTCCTCGTTTTCTGTCCCTACAGCCCCGGCACAATGTGGAACATGTGCCGATTTTACAGTTAAATTATACAGCACTTATTTCATGTATTGTGGCAGCTAGGCAAGAACAATCAATAAGTAAACTCAACTGCTCGAAACTGCCCAGGCAGTCAGCTCGCTAATCAGATCCAACAGAAGGAGCAAAAGAAATGATAGAAAGGAAAAGCTGTCCGGGGGGCGAGGGGGGAAGAAGAGGGAGAGAAAAGAAGAATAGTTAGAAAGAATTGGATAAGGCAGTAAAGCAGAACGCCCATTGATTGCGGATGGCTAAAATTAGCTATTTTAGTAGCTCTACACCCAGTCTTGGCTTCAGCAAAGAACTTAACCCCCTTGCAAGAAAGAACATGGATGTCATCTGGGCTGTTCACAGTCGACAGTCAAACACATTTTCATAACACAGTCACATTGCTTTTACTCATCCCACAAGCTATAGATGACGATAGCAGGAATGCTTCTCTTTAAAATTGAGAATGACAGAATTCAAACTCAGTTTTTAAAGAATGATCTGGTAGATCCTCATCTACTACTACTATCACTCTTACCCAGTTTTGACGCTTTTAAAATCTGTAATAAAACCCTACATTTTAGTCCACTGGGTATTACAGGGCAAAACAATTAGAGCACAAATAAAACAATCTATTGCCAATTGTTCCCACTAGGGGAATTCCACTATTATTGGCTCATTATCTCCATGATATTATGTCAGTTTCTCAGTTTGTTCCACAGAAATAATAAAAAAACCATTTGTTTTCAAGCTACTTACAAGAATAGCCAGCTAGAAATTATATAATAAATAGTAAGTTTTCATAATTTCTTCATATTTTCAGCTTTAAAACATCTTTGTTTAACTCTAGCCAAATGTTTTTTGAAAATTTCTCTATGTTGCAGTAAATGCAGCCCTACTGCATGAAAACACAATGTAACAATAGTATTATATTACTCACCCTGTTCTGTATGTGCATTCATCCTAGTATCAACTATATTAGGGACCCAAATATTATTTTTTACTTTTAGTAGCTGTGTAGAACTAGTATAACTTAAGGCTTTTTCCCTTTCTGGGCTCCACATTTACTAGATTCCAATTAGAAAGCTAATCTGTTACATTTGTGCAAACCAACTGACAGAAATGAGGATTTACGCAGGTGTCACCAATGGTATTATTTGGTCAGTGTAATCTTTTTAAAGGTGACCTGAGTGAGAAGGAAACCCAGCTTGATTTGCAGAGCATGGATTGCTGTTGTAGAGCTGAAAACTAGGGTAAAAACAGGAAAAAGTGACTATTTGTTCTGCAAATCATTGTCAGAACAAGCCTGGAACCCAACAATGTAAATTTTAGATCGGCACTTTTCAGAATAAAACCCCACACTAGGATAAATCCAGTCTCCGTTTCTCTGGCTGAGGAAGGCTCCTGTGCAGCAGAACTCATGCATTCCGCTGCACAAGGGGTAGACTGCATGTGATAGGAACCAAACACAAACATGGGTGTTGGAACTAGGGGTGCTGGTTGTGCTGCTTCACTCTCCCCTCACTGCCCCCTCTGGCTTGAAGTGATTTCCATCATATACAGGGTTTACTGTTTGGCTCAGTGCCTCTCAGCACCTCATAACACATATACAAATTGTTCCAGCATTCCTGAACACAAGGTACATGAAATCTAGATGCCATGGAGGCCATGGCATGTGGAACAAAACACCTGATGCAGTGCATAGAGCAGGCTAAGGGCTTCCTGGCTGTACACATTTTCTTCTCCCTCAGCTGCAGGGGATTGTGCAGAGACCTTGCACAGGCTGCTTCAAACATTGGGCTTTGGACATTTCCTGGTTCTGGTAATGCATTGGTAAATTTACACATCCATTTGCTAGTGAATGTTCCCAATGCTAGCACTAGAGCAGGGGAACTATTGCAAGAAGAGTGTTTGCAAGTGTTCATGCACTAGTGTATTAAAGACTGTTGTGGAACTGCAACCTATTACTTTAAGAGCAGGGCAGAGGTGGGGTGGTCTTCTGGTTGCAGATATCATAGGATATCATTAGCAGTCAGTCTGGTAAGACCCTGCTTAAAGCAAGGGGGATGAGTGTTACCTCTGTGCTCTAGGGAGCAGCTTCTGTTGGAGTTCTTCTGTATTAAGGTTCTGATTTCTGGGAAATAAGTGTTGTAACGCTGCAGCCTTCCACCAAGAATATTTTGTTTTTATCTCACTTTGCTGTGTGTATGTTGCGAACATAACACATTGGAAGGCCCAATGGCTTTTTGCTTTGATCATGTTCATACCGCTCCTTTCTCCCTCCACTTTTTCTAGTTAGTCATAAACATTGAGGCAGATGAGTTTTTGTTTGAGTGGGTTTGTGGGGAATTGGCACAGGTGTACATGCATGAACAAGAGCACATGCCTGTTT